AGCTAAAATTTTGCAGTTATGTTCACCATCCACATAGAACTCAAAGATTTCAAATTCAGCCTCCGAGCATGCGTGTTTCTCACGTACGCTCCCGTGAAGTTTCCTGGCGGGAAAATCGCTAAATTGGAATTCAAGAAAGCTAGAAAGCTGAAACTTTAAGGAGATGCTCTCACTTCATGTACAGCTGAAATTTATCGAATTCAGCCCCCAACCATGCGTGGCTCTCACATACAGCCCCATGGAAATTTTGGTGGGAAAATGGCTAGCTCGGGAGCTGAAAAAGTTAGGAACCTGAGATTTCAGGGTAATGTTCCCAGCCCATGTACAACTTAAATTTATCAAATTCAGTTCCCAGTTATGCGTGGTTGTCACGTACGGCCCTGCAAAACTTTTTGCCAGGAAAATGGCTAATTCGGGAAATACGAAAGCTGGAAAGTTAAAGTTTTAGTGGAATGCTCCGTATCCAAGTACTGTGTAAAAATTAACTTCCCGAGCCTCATGCACCAGTATTTCACACATCCTAGCTAGTGATTTTGCAAACGATCTCATTATAGCATGAAATACAGCAAAAATGCATGATCGCAGGGGCGCGCCCGATGCGCGCCGCCAATGGCTTTCCATTTGCTCATTAAAACCCTAATTTTTCGAACGAATTGAACCTGGTATAAAATAGGTGAAATAGCATGCCGTGTTATGAAGACATGCCGAGCAATGGGTATAAAGACGGTTGCTGTACACTCGGACGTGGACAGCGCGTCGTTGCATGTCAAGCTTGCCGATGAAGCTGTTTGCGTTGGCCCGGCACCGACAAGTGAATCCTATCTGCGGAGTGACAGAATTCTGCAAGCAGTTAAAGACACTGGGGCGCAAGCTGTAAGCTTTTATGTTTGCCAGTTTCTTCAGCCCAGAAAATCTGTCTTTTGGCTAGAATTCCATGGCTTTGTTCCATTTGGAGGCAACTGACAAAAACGGGCAATTTAGCCGTTTGTGTTAAAATTCTCGGATTTATAATTTCCATTTTAATAAGATACTTATTGAAGGTGCATCCAGGCTATGGCTTTCTTTCTGAAAATACAGACTTTGCGGCAAAGTTGGAAGCAGCCGGTGCAGTTTTTATTGGGCCGAATAGTAAAGCAATTTTAGCAATGGGTGATAAAATCCATTCGAAGCGAATTGCCACCGAAGCTAAAGTAAACATGATTCCCGGCTATGATGGTGAAATCAATGTGAGTTTGCTTTGTTTTCTCAGTAATTGTAATTTCAGTTGCCTTGCGCAAGAATACAGGTTTTTTTTAAAGGCCTTGAAATGCAATCGGTATATAATCTTATCGCTTCATTTATGTCACAAGTGGTAACTTTTCGGGAAAAGTACAAAAACCCAA